AAGCTCCCGCTGTCACCTCCCCCCGCCGGCGGCTCGTCGCTCTCAGAGTCCGACCCCCACGTCGAGTCGCATTCCTCCACGGTGCTCGGCTCCTTGAAACGCCAGCCGCCCAACAGATTTCCCATTTACAAAAATCAACAGTCGCACACGCACTTGTTCTTCTTCTCTCTCTCTTTTGTTTAAAAAATAACTCTCTCACAGAGAAATTTACATTTTTTTAGTTTTTGTTGCGGTTATCGCGGACCCTGTGCTCTCGCTGTTCCTTTTTAAATGGCAGTGAAGCGGAATTTCCACATCAGCAGCGATGATGCGCGTCTCTGTATGGAGGAAGATTAGTGCCACAAGACGAGCAGAAAGAGGAAATTGAAGCTGCGTGTGTTCATATTGTGATGTCTTTGTCACTTTGTTTAAATATTGAAGGTGTACTACTGCAGTTATGAATAACGGTATTAAGTAATAAGGATTTTATTTTAGTTTAGTTTTTTGAAGACACAAAGGTTGACCATAACAAAAAAGCTCAAAGAAGCCAAATCTTAAATACAAGAAAACAAAAGAAATTTGTTCGCCAAAAGTACTATCAACGAATACATAAATGTTAGCTGTACATTATTGACAGAATTCTTAAAAGAAAATAGTTCAAAACTATTGCTCGTCTTCACCTTTTTCCACGTTTTGTGGCACTAATTGCTCCTCATAGATGGAGCCGGTATGAGCAGCATCAGGACCAGAGCTGTGTCACGTGAACCAGGGACAGGAGGAGGTTACAGTAAAACGAAGCTGTGACCTACACTCACTTTTAATGAAGTAGTTGCTGTGAATACACTGGGTTTTCACTCAGTTTTTATAATAAAATATCACAGTGACTACTGTACTTCACTTTTTTGGGTTTAATCTAAAGTCTCAGCTGCTCCGTCTTTATTTGATACAACCGTGTAAACCTCTAAATAATATGTCACATGTAGCCTTAAAGCCAAAAAGCTAAAACTCGAAGTCTGTTTTTTTAGTCAGAACGACAAATATGTAGACAAAATATGAATGACGTAATACGACGTATGAAAACCTCTTTCCTTATTCGTATTATCTGTAAAACTCCTTTATTTACAAAGGAGATGCTAAACGTATGTTCTTTACGACATAACTTCTCTACTTCACCAGCTAACAACATCAACATACTGTAATTTTACTGTGATTTAAATCATGACTTTTGAGCTGTAATTACACATAAATCATCGCTAGGAGGCAGTGTTTCTCTAAAAATAATGTCAGACATTACCGCTCTCTCTTTCTTGATTTTCTTGGCGACTGTGTAAAAAAAAACAGCAGGGCAGCAGCAGATGCATCATAGAAAATATATAACAAATATACAATATATTGATATTATTAATCTCTCAAATCTGTTTTGATGTATACTATATATTGAATGTATATATGCATATATATTAGTGTATATTTATATATACATATGTTTATTTATGTATATATACATATATTTATACATATATAAAAAAGATGAAAGATAATATCAATATATTTTGTATTTGTTTATATATTTATGATGCAACTGCTGCTGCTCTTCCATAACAGAGTCAATGAGTTGTTGTTTTTTTAAAAAAAACATCTGTTTTGCTTTTGATTTGCAGCTGCAGGTGAGGACTTGTTTTGATTTTTATTTGAGCAGATTTTCTTATTCAATTTTTGGGGCTTTTGGGAGGGGGGGGGGTGAGTTGGGCGGAGGCCGCTGTTTATGACCTGCACCAGTTTATTTTCACCTGTGTGTGAGTCATTTGTCCTGGACCACAGTCATGCCTGTAGCTCTCAGTGTATGTAAACAGGTCAGTGTCGACGGCGCCCTCATCTGTTACACTGACACTTGGTCATTAGCCATGAGCCACAGTGTCGGCCTGAGAGAGATTAGCTGCTGGAGCACGTCGCCACAGAGAAAAGCTCCAGGGGAGGAGGAGGAGGAAAATGGAGGTGAAACTGAAAACATAATGCGCTTGGATGCAGCGCTGGAGTGAATCTGCCGCGGAGTTTGACAGATTCTGTTTTTCTCTCACTTAGTTACTGAGCGACTGAACAGATTTTCAGCTGCTACAGTGGAGCTGTGATGTCCTAATTACTGAGGCAGAGCTCCAGTCTGTACTGATTGCTGATTGCTAATCCTGAATGATTTGATGCAGCAGCCAGAGTCTCAGGCTGTGACACTCATCTGTGGTGATTTCTGTATTATCTTAATGGTGCAGGTGTTTTTCTGTTAATTATACTGCCTTCCTGTCACTACCTAATAGGATCATTCGGATTATTTTTGGTTCACATGTTCACATCCAGGCGGGTTCTCAGAGTTAAATGACGTTTAGGTGACTTTAAATTGTTTAAAATGACATTCTTTTAATGGCGGCTTTGGTTGAATTTCACTGCTCTGTTAGAATTTTAGAATCTATATTTAGAATCTAATGTTGTAAAAGTATAAAATGTGTAAAAGTCAAATAAACTACATACAGTTTGATCCAGAGAACCAACTAAACCCAAACTAACAGTGTGAACATTTAAATATACAAGGCTAAATGTTTACACAATCTAAAACCTTACAAAGAAAATCACCAGATTATAGAACGAACTGACAATAATGAGTGAAAATACTCAGAATGAAGCAAACACATCAAATGTTGTCCTAAATGTTAGCTAACCGTTAGCACAAATAACTGTAATCAAGTCTTCAGCTTAGCCACTAAAACAAAAACAAACATTTTCCAACATTAAGAACAGTTTTTAAAACATGACAAAATGCTGTGCTGTTGTTGGTTAGAAGCTATAAACCAGTAACCATCAGTTAGTAATGACTAGTAGTGACAGAAACAGCTAGCTACAGTAACAAACTGCCTACTCATGCACCACACTCCAGTCAGAAGGTGAATGTTTTCGTGAAGTTGTCAGTGAGCTGCTGCTCCGCTGCTGTCACTACGATAAATCAACACTGAGTGTTTGGAAAAAACTGAAGCCACAAAATACCAGACTGGAGCTGACTAACGGAGGCAGCAGTGAACCGACAACTCCTGTGAGCGGTCGGGTTAAATTGTTAATTTTCTCTACAAACTTCAGTGTGGAGAAATGACAGGTTCACAAAACTCCACGAACTAAACCTGCTGCTCCAGATGTCACAGAAAAAAAAACAAGTGTTTCTCAATAGGGTTATTAATGTGGGAGGTGACGTCCCTACTGGTCGTTGGAGGTACTGTAGGATGAGGGCTGAAATATATATATATATATAATATAATTTTGTATTTAAATAACTCCAAGCCCCAATAAAATAACAAACAATTTTATACAGTTTTACAGTAGTGGAGGTTCTGTCTGTCTCTCCATCAGTTTGGGTGTCTTTGTCCAGAAAACTAAATTACCTGACTGTCCCTTTACAGGAAAAACAAATAAGATAATTATCATATGAGACTGGCTTTTAAAAAATCTGTCTTTTCAACCTTTACTTGACAGGGTGAATAAAAGGAACGTAATTAAATCATAGCTCAGCACACTCTAGATCCAATCATTTATCATTTCCTCACGTGACGTTTCCCGGCGACGGCCTTCGCGACCACGTGCTCCAACAGAGTTTTATTCTCCGGCGACGTCGGGCTGAAGTGATGTAAATCTCTCCGTACACATAATTGCACTGCGAGAAGAGAGAGCCTACATTAGAGCTGACGGCCGTGGCTTTGTGAGGCAGAAATCAAAGATGTTTGATTTGAATGCAGAGTTTCTGCAGCAGAGTCTGAAACGGAACATTTTTCCACTTCTTTTTCTTTGAGCAGCTGGAACAGAAAACAGTTCTGATTTCTATTTGTCAGAATTCAGAGTCTGAACAAACTAACAACAATAATCTGACTAATCAGACATGTGCTGCAGGCCATCAATGGAATCCAGACTTAAAACCTAGGATATGGGCTACATCCCAGACAAGTGGGTGAGTCATCGGGTCAGACTAACTCTCCCTCATGGGGTCAATAGAATAAAAAACAAATGGGAAAAAAGTCTCAATTTGATCAATATCTGCCGGTTTGTCACATCTGATTTGAAAGTCAACGCACGTCAAACATCCACCCCACGTATTGTGTGGACTTTGACTCCACATTGTTCCAGAGAAACAGTTTCATGAAGCACCATAATCATCCAGCTGCGTCGCAGCCGTGGGTGAGAGCGGGGGCAGATGAACCCGACCGGTGGACAGGCAGTGGAGAGGCTGTGGGAGGTTGTTTTATCTGAAACACTACGTACACTCACAGACTGTGGCGTCTGGAGAACAAGCCTGCTGTTTGATCTCCGACTCTCTATCGCCCCCACATCTGTTCTGTCTGACGCCCTGCGGGCCACTGATGCTGAGACGTCGGTGTATTTTTAGTTTGGAAGATTTAATGTAAGAATATGTAGAGCTTTCTACCAAAAAGACTTTGACAGAATTTTGTTTTGTTTTTTTCCAGGTCAGTCGCGGTGACCAGTGACATCATGAATAATTAAAAAGACATATTCATCTATTCATCTATTCATATATTCATATATCTTCTATCTTCTGCTCCAGCAAACACTGCACAGTCCTCAGAACAACAACCATTCACACCTGCATTCACACCTACATTCACACCTACTGTATGTACAAATCAGGGCCGTCTAACTGAGCTAGTCTTAGTCTGAGAAACAACATGCAAACACCGCACAGGAAGACCACGACAATGACCTTGTTGATGTAAGGCAAGAACACTAACCGCTCTGTCACTGTACTCTGTGACTGTGAAACCAAACTCACTCTCCACAGTAGATCAACTGAGGTTGAAATCTCGATTTTATTGTTTTTTTTATTCTTGGTACTTTTATTTTTTAAATTGGTTTAATTGACATTTATACGAACAGTACTTTCTTTTATTCACTTCACTGCTTGGAATAAATTCACTTTAAATCTAATTGTATCCTGTTACACCAGTCGTTCTGTAGCTGAAGCTGTCGTCGTGGCGTTCGCTTTGACCACCGTCGACATCATCGCCTGTCGTATCATATTATCTGCTGCTGTGGCGGGCCTGCATTAAAGCCAGTAAAAACAGGGCTCTGTGTTCATCCAAACACACACACACACACACACACAGTGTGCATTGAAGCTAACAGTTAGCTCTTCAGGTGTTTTCCTTGCTAAAATAAAACACCGTTATCGGCAGAGACACACCCTCGCTCTTAGATAAAACACATACTGCACTGTGTAATCTGCTGTTACACTGCAGACACACACACACACACTTGATGCTGATGCTGATGCTGATGCCGAGTGTGGAGCTGCCCGTTCTCTAACAGCTGGCAGCCACAGTTCAGTTCTGTTGTCTAATTGACTGTGTGCACAACCATGAGTTTATCTGATTATAGTTTAAAGCACAGCTGCTCCGAGGCATAAATACCTGCACCCACACACACACACACACCGTTCACACCGTTCACACCCACGACACGTCCACGAGGTAAACCAACAAGAAGAATCGAAATTTCTATGAAATGCAAAAACCTGCGATAGAGCGAAAAATGGAATCAAAATTTCTATGAAATGTAAAAACCTGCGATAGAGCGAAAAATCCACAATACAATAATACATATAAAATATTCAAAACCTGCGAAGGACGAATACAGCGAGGGACGACTGTATACAAATAAATTAATTACAACAATAATAATGATGAATTATTAATTATTATGAATTAGTTTTATCTCATGTATTAATTCCTCCATTATCTGCAGCATCTCCATCATTTCTAAGTGAACAAACCGTGAACTTTCACACATCCCCTACAGTCATTACCATTTCACACAGTGATGCCCTTTTTCCCCAAAGGAGAAAAGCCTCCTTTGTTATGCTAAAACCGGCGCTACCGTACTGCCAGTAATTCAGGGATAGTCAAACAGCCGTGTGTTTGGTTGCTGGACACGCTCCACGGACTTCTCTGTCCTGGTTTGACGACACGCTGGGTGAGCTCTGGGCTGACGACGTCAGTGTACTGACAGAACCACGTGGAGGGTTTGTTCCTGGTCGGGGAAATGAGCGGTAAACAAAGGAAAAAAGGCTAAAAGGAGAGAGTAGAAATCAGGGGGAAGTACGGGGTACGAAGCAGGGTTATGGAATGTGTTGATGCTAACGAGCAAACACAGAAATGTTGAACTCTGTCAGACAGGAAAGGTTCAGCTGAGTCCCATCAATGTTGAGAACAGGGCCTGGGCCTGAAGACCCTCAGTCAGCAGAAACCTTACAGCAATATCACGTTTTTGCTGAAGGAGGGAATATCGAGTGTTAATAAGACACAGCAGA